CGTCGTGATGGCTCCTGCTGCTATTGATACGGCTGCTCTTGCTACGGCTGCTATCCAGTCTGCTGCTGTTGTCCGAGACAATAGCATCGGTCAGCCGTTCTGTGTTTGTCTGCATCTCGACGCTGCAACGGCTTTTGCTGCTGACGGAGCGGCTGCCATTGCTTCTGGCTTTTCTGCTGTTGTTGATGCTCCGGCTGTTTGAGAGAGCCGCATGGGACTGCCCTTTGCCTAAAAAGGGAAGGCACATTACTTAGTCACAAAATTTTTCCCCAGCCTAGTCAAATAAAGAATACGCAGGCCTGATAGAAGTGAACATTATAAGCTATAAACTATTGATTAGTCTACTGACAAAAACCCAAAGCCTACCATGACCATCGTACTTGCTACCTTACAAGGGTTTTTTCCTGTCGTATCGGACTATTCGCTAGGGTTAAGCAGCAGTAGCATCTGTCTGGACCTAGAAAACACAACTTACCCAATCTGTCGAGTTCTGGACTTGCTCTTTCCTCAAAGAGGTCCGCCAATCTATCTAACCCCGAGCTAAATGCCCGAAAATAAGTTTGATTCACTTCACTCGCAGTATATGCTTGAGAAGTACCTCGTCCGCGAGAAGACTGATAGTCTTCAGAATAGAGAAAGGGTCAAATCGTTTACCCAAACATGTATTGCGAGTGAACCGAAGCAAGCATATTTTCGGGCATTTAGCTCGGGCTTAGAAGGATTGGCAGACCAATACGACTGGTGATTTAAGATCTGCCAATCCGTCTAAGCCCGAGCTAAATGCCTGAAAATACGTTTGCTTCGGTTCACTCGCAATACATGTTTGGGTAAACGATTTGACTCTTTCTCTATTCTGAAGAGAGACTTGATCGCTTGTACAACACGTTTAGTCGCCTGACGTTTGGAGATCTGTCGCGGATTGGTCATCAGAGATATAATCAGATAGAGCATTAGTAGAATTGCTTCCCGAATCTCGCCTATTCGGTCCTAACAATTGAATCTGGTGGGCTGTACATTGTGCGCAAACAGCCAATCATTCGACAAAACAGCAATCCTACTTTGAGCATCTCACTTGCAGCTTTGCAAGTGATTTTCGTGTTCTCACAAGGTTCCCTTCAGTCATTTTAAATTGACATG